ACACACACACACAAACACACACACACACACACACACACACACACACACACACACACACACACACACACACTCTGTGGTCCATGGGGACAGAAAAGTCTTCAGGGCCTTTCAGAGACCAGGTTTCCACCTCTGACTTCAGCTCTTCATCTTTAGATTCTGGCTTGGGCTAAATAATTTCCACTTCTCATTAGTAAGTCTACTAATGAGATAGTAAATACAAGTGGCAGAAGGGGAGAGACATTAGGGCTCATCTGTGTGCTGGTATTTGGGGAGAAAGGCCCTGGAAGAATAGTTATGCCTCTTGCTTCTCACATGGAGGAGACGTGGGTTGTGAGAGTCTAGTGCAGACCCCACCTGGCCCCTGACCAGTGCCTCCTGATTGAGAGTGTGCAATGGACTCATGTGGGAAGCTGTTGAGAAACACCCCTTCTCCCCCTGTCCTGCCCATTTGCTCAGTGTGGTGCTGAGAAAGCCTCTCTTGCCAGCTCTAGGCAGTGCCCTGCTGCCTGACAGACACCTCCAGAATCTCCTGTGCTTTTCTTGGGTTGGGGGTGGTGCCAGGGATTGAACCGGGGGTGCATGTGCTGACCTGTACCCCGGCCCCATCTTGTGGCCTTGTTGCATGATAGGTGCAGATTATGTCTGTAGTATTTCAGGACACTGTATGTTAAATGAAATCATCGTTGGCTAGAAGCCACAGGGCCACTGTGACTGTTGGGATAGTTGAATTCCTTTAACACTTGCCATAGAGGTATTAGGGTTGTAACCTTCATTCCAGGAGGGTTTCTGTGGAGCAGGAGAAACCAGAAGGCCCTGTGGATGTGGCTTAGCTTGTGAACTCTCAGGTGGTCTGTTCTGATGTTGTGTGCTTGGCTTTGTTTCACAGATGTTTCTAAGCCTCTGCTACACAAACCTCTGAAACTAAAGAACTTTCACTGAAACTAAAGAACTATTTCCTTGCCCAGGCTGCTGACAGCGATTCTGAAGAGTCAGATGACTTACTGGCAGCACCAGTTGGGACCTTTGACCTCACATCTGACCCCTGCCACACACCTACGACAGCACAAGAGAATGGTGATGCTCCTGAGGGCCCAGCTGACATCACAACATATGGGGAGTCCAACCTGGTGGCCGAGCCTCAGAAGGTAAAGATGTGGCAGCTTAGATTTACACCGTGGCCTGGAATCTGTTTAGTTTACCTCCTGTATGAGAGTTCTGTCAACCTGAGCCTTATCCCTCCATCTCAATTTCACCTTGTCACTCTCCAAATGACTGAGTCTTAAGGCTGCCCAGAGGGACTGATGTCAGGTAGATTTGTGTAGAATAATTGACCTTCTCTCCAGAGAGCTTTTTTATTCATTCATTTGTGTATGCATGCTGGGCAAATGCTCTCTCCCTGCCCTCCCTATGCCCCAGCTCCTAAGATCTCAGTAAGTTACATAACTAATGCTGAGTCTGTCACCCAAATAAAGCAGGAGCGTGGAGGCTGCAGGCAGAGAATATGAATACTAAGTAAGGCTAGCTGTGTGGCCCGGTTCCGTTAATGTTAAGTTATCCTGCATTACACATCTCTGTTCTGCATGAGTTAGTAGGCTTGGTGCTTTCATTGATATTTTATCCATTTACCTCTTTTGCACTAGAACTCAAGGTTATCTTTAATGCAGCTTACCTTTTTTTTGGAGGTGGGGATTAGTACTGGAGATTGAACCCAGCCTTTTTTTTAAAATGAGGCAGTCTCACTAAGTTGCCAAATCTAGCCTTAGATTTGGAATCCTCTTGTCTCAGCCTCCTGATCAAAAATAAATTTAAAAACGAAAAATTTTTTTTTTTTTTTTGAGGCAGGGTCTCACTATGTAATTTAAGTAGGTCTTGAACTCACTGTGTAGCCCAGGCTGGCCTCAGACTCACAGCAATCCTCCTGCCTCAGCCTCCCGAGTGCTGCAATTACCCATATGCACCACCATACCTAGCTAAGAAATTAAATTTGACATGATGGAGTTAGTATGTCCAAAGAAAACTGTAACTCTTTGGTTAAAACTGGGAGTATTTCCCTTTTGAATACTCCCTACTTGTCCAGAGTAGCTGTCTGCTTGTTTACTCTCGCTATCTCCCCCTTTCCCCTACCTTCAAATAAATTGTCTTCTTTTACTTTATTCTAACTCCAAAGTTTTTACAGTGAATTGATGGTGTTTTTTCTTCTGCTTAGTTTTACCTTGTCATATACCTATTTCAGGTAAATAAAATTGAAATTCATTATGCCAAGATTGCCAAAAAGATGGACATGAAGAAGCTGAAGCAAAGCATGTGGAGTCTGCTGACGGATTCCCCCAGAAAGGAGGCTAGCACCGAGGTAGGTGATGGGGCCCCCATGCTCCGAGGGAGCTGGGGCAGCGGGGGCCACTCCAGCTGCCTGTGGTCACTGGCCCCAGAATAACAAGGAAGACACCACACATGGGAGAGAGGCAGGCAGGGTGCATGGGGCACATTCACCTGTGCTGGTGACCAAGACAGAAACAAGAACATCTTCTGCTGCTTGAAAACAGCAGTGTCACAACTAAATGATACGCCCAGTATGAGTTAAAGTAAAGTTGGAATGCTTATTGCTGGTTACAGTCTAAATTGAAAGAAGACCTTTTAGAAAGTAAAGTACATGTAACTACCTGTCAGGTGCCATAAAATGTTGAAACCATTTGATCTAGTAATTCTGATTTAGGGAATGAGTTCTCAGGAGGGAAATTGCAAGCAAACCATTAGGCCATCAGATTCCTTCCTCCTTGAGGAGGTGAAGCCGTGATTGCTTGTCCAACTCAGTGGATGTCTCAGGCCCCCTCCTTTTCAAACCCTTCCTCCTCAGGGCTCTAGAGCTCAGCCTGTTCTCCCTAATGCTGGCTGGGAAATGGGCGTTTATGGCTTGGCTGAGGGCCAGACTGCATGCTCTCAAGTGTACAGGAGAAAACTTCAGTCCTGATCAGAGTTCATCTAACACAGAATCAGCTTCAAATGCAGGAGAAGACTGCTTTTTACAGAGAGAGAAGGGCCGGGGATTTAGCCCAGTGGTTCTGCTGCCTGCCTTGCAAGCACAAGGACCTGAGTTCAATCCCTGGTACCAAAAAAAAAAAAAAAGAGAGGGGAAGCCAGGCGTGGTAATGTATGCCTGTGATCCTAGCACTTGGAGAGGCTGAGGCAGGAGGACCATTGTGAGTTCAAGGCCACCCCAAATTACACAGCGAGATCCTGTCTCAAAACATAACAATAAAGAGGGAGGAGGGTTCTGCTTGACTTTGAGATTTAATGACTCCTCATGCCCTGCCTCCAGGAATTCTAGTTCATTAAAGCTTTATTCTTTTAAAAAATCCTATCATTACAAAATAATCATACAAAAGTAGAAGAGTAGAGAAAAAAATAAGTAGTATAATGAACCTCCACTTCCATAACTGAATGTTCTATTAGACCATTATTGTCTGTCTTGTCCCATCCATAAACCTTTGGGCATCGTGGATTCTTTTCAGTGCTGGGGACTGAGCCGGGACAAGTGCCTTAACACAGAACCGTGTCCCCAGCCTTTTTTGTTTTGAGATTGGGTCTCTGTTGCCAATGCTGGTCTCCAACTGTAGTCCTCCTACTCTGGCCTCTCAAGGACCTGAGATTACAGGTGTGCATCACCACACCAAGCCACAAATTATTTTTATGTACATTCTAGGCCAGATACACTTTAACTGCTTGCCTATTACACAGAGGAAGCAGGGTATTTTTGTTAGTTTACTTTTAAATATGGATTTTATGCTGCCTATAGCTATAATCCTATTGAAGCCATAAATCATTTGTGTCTTTGTTAAACTTTTCCAAGGGCTTTAGGGGCTCTTTGCAGTTTCCCCTTTACCAGGATCACACTGGCCCTGCTGTGATACTTACTGTAACTCGGTGAATGTTACCATCTGTGCAGGCTGAGATTTAATGACTCCTCATGCCCTGCCTAGTTCCTGAGGCGTTCCCTAGAAATACTGAAGGACTTGCTTCCCTGTTGTTCGAGTCCTTTTCTTGGTGGAGACACAGCGTGTGTGTGTCCTTGGGTCTCTCCAAAGTGCACTGGCCTTTCATGTCTGTCTTCCGGTAGGTGAGCCTCAGCGAACCTGGTGCAGGAGGAGCTCCGGTGGGGGTGGCTGGCAACAAGATGCTCAGCGGGCTCACAAAGGACCTGCAGAAGAAGTGAGTGCTGGCTGGGGCAGGCTGTATGAGGACACATGGGCTCACTGTGTCCCCTCTACCCCACTGAGTGCATGGTGGGGCAGTTAGTGTGGTGAACCTTCTGCCTTCCTCTGCTGTGGTAGTTGCTTTAAAAGGGTATCTCATTCCCAGATGGGAAACTAGAAAGATGCTATGTGGCGCATTTGAAATACCCGTGTCCTCACTGTTACCTGTGTGTGTGTGTGTACGTGTGTACATGTGTACATGCACATATGTGGTGAGCCAGCCTCTTTTCTTTCCTGCACTGACCACTGTGTCCTCCTGTTTCCAGCCTGCCCCCCATCATGGCCCAGAACCTCTCCATACCTCTGGCTTTCGCCTGCCTCCTGCACTTGGCCAATGAAAAGGTAGGTCACTGGGCAGGTAGGGAGGCTTGAACACGCCCTGTTCAGCACTCCTGACTTCTGGAGCCTCTCATCAGAGCTACTAGGCCTGCCATAGAGCGTCTTACACAGTGCCTTCAACCTAGGCATCAGTAAAGCCCTGAGAAGTCACTCAGCAAACAGCCACAAAGTTTACCAGCAGTAGAAATGATGAAGACGTCCCAAATGGAAAGTTAGGTTCGGTTTTTGAGACAGGGTTTCCCTATGTAACTCAGGCTGGCTTTGAACTCACTATGTAGCCCAAGCTGACCTCACACTTGCAGTGATCCTCTTGCCCAGCCCTGCTAGTTCTGGGTTTACAGATGTGCACCACTGGCTCCCTGAGGAGTGGGGAGCTGGCAGTGCCAGAGGCTTTTCAGTGGGAAACTGGAAGGAATCAGAAGAGCCATAGGATGGGTCTGGGACTGCCTGGAGCCACCAGAGTCAGTGTCCAAACCGGAGGACTAAGCAGAGCCCAGCAGAGCCCTCAAAGGAGTGACCCACATCGGCTGCTGGTGTGGCGGTCTCCTGGGAAGCCTGGTGGCACGGCTGAATCTGGGAACGATATATCCTGTGCAGTAGCCTTTGAAGCAAGGGTGGCAGGCAGCTGCACCTGCCTGGTTGTGAGACATAGTAACAGAAGTGTCTCCCTGTGGGTCCTGACACATTGGAGCTATGTGCTGTCAGACACAAACTACACAAATGAAAATGACTAGGAGAAAATAGTGACAGGGTCACACTGTTACCATCAACCTGACTGGAGTTCTGTGCAGTGGCCATCTGAGGGAGGGTCTCGAGTGTTCTCCATGCCGAGCTGTCCTGGGGGACCCATCTTCGTGG